GCCGGGACTGCCTGGGGGAGCTGCCAGTGCGCGACCTGGAGCCTTATCAGGCCGATCCTGGGCCCATGATCGGTGAGGTGGTCAGTGACGTCCCCCGAGACGGCGCCCATGCCGCCTCCGCGCCCCCCCCCCCCACACACACACACACTTGTCGTCGTCGTCGTCGTCGCCGTCGTAGACGCCTTCCGTGACGTCTTCTCACGGCGCGATGGGGGGGGCTATCCGTGCCCTGCTCGACCCTCGGGTCGTCGTCCTTGACTCCGCTTCTGAGCGGCTGAGCTTCGGGGCCAGCTCCGAGGCGGATCCGGCCGTGGCGACGAGGAGGGACAGAAAAGCAGGGGCCCCACGAGGGCGCGAAGTGGTTCGTGATTCGCGATTCCTCATCCTCACCCTCCTTGCCCTCCTCTTCCCCCCCAGGTGGAGGCGCGAGAGCGCGAAGTTGTCCGTGTTTCGCGCCTCGCGCAGCGCAAAACGCGAAAGCGATTATTTGCTGTTGGAACGGAGCGGAAGCATCGTGTTTCGAAGGGCGCTTCGCGGAATGATTGGGTCTGCGTTGGGCCCCCGTGGCGGCGCCTCGGGCGCTCCCACCTGCCCGGGCGCATTCAGCGCGCCAGGGGAGGGCGGTGTGGGGTCCAGCGCCGACCCAAGAGCTCCGTACAGACCTTTGAAAGTTCAGGCGCAAAGCAGTCTTCTCCTAAGCAGCTTGTCTGGAAGGGCCTAAGGTGGCTAAGATACAAAGTTCGGGCATCGCCGGATCTTGAATCGGTCGGGCGCCTTGGCCTGCCGTGGCCTCCCAGGCATCGCCGGATCTGGAATCGGTCGGACGTCTCGGTCTCCCGTGGCCTCCCGTGGTGTTCTATGCTGTGGCAAGACGAGGTGCCTCCGTCTGTGCACCTCCCTGTGTCCCGTGCTTGTAAGCTGTTCCGGGTCATTTGTCGCAAGGGTGTAATTGCTTCTTCCTCTGCCCACAAACTAGAATCTCGAATCATGGATAGAACAGCGCAGAACTGCACACACCTAAACTTTGGGAGGTCCGCACGCCCTTTCGACAGTTCACGTGCAGTGCAGCGTTCTTTTTTAAACCTCGAATCTCGAGCTCCGATGCCCGAAGGCGCTGGACTTCAACGACATCCTCGCGGGCATGGACCTGGCCGCGTACGACAACTACCCCGTCTGGGGCGGCTCGCTAGCGCCGACGGCCCCCTCCATTTGAGGAACAAAAACACGACACGACCATGAACTTCTCGAGGTCCGCGCGGATTTCTCGGCTCGGCGTTGGATCCCCCCTGAGATGTGGGCGTAGCATGTTTTTCGCAGCGGGCAATGTTGCCCCGTTTCGGGCCCCGGGACCATCCAAGATCGAGCAGGTTCGAAACATGTAGCAGATAAAGGTTTGTACGATGTTTTTTGTTTGATGTCGGATCTCAGGGTTTTTTTCCTTCCGCGCTCCAGGGGTGGCGCTGGAGGCGCCGCCAGGGGGGTCCAGCGCCGATCCAAGCAATCCGCGCGGACCTCCGAAAGTCTATGCTCGTGCAGTTGTTCGTTCCTCTATCCATGGTCGCGCTCGCCCTCGACCAGGTGCGCGGCATGACGCCGCCGGGCGCAGAGGTCGGGAGTTGCCAGAAGTGCCCCTGGCCCAAGGTGCCCCCAGGATTTCCAGGGAGGCCCCCACGGACTCCAGAGCAGCCCTCACGAGGCACAGAGGGCCCCAGGGGCTTCAGAATGGAGCGAAAAGCTGAGGGCACCTGGGGCTAAGTCGGGCCTCTCCCTCTACAGGGGGAATGTTCAAAAATAGTCAAAACATGTTTTGTTGTGTATATATTTCGTCCAAAACCCGCCTGTAGGGGGACAGGCCCGACCTAAACCTGGGGCCAGGGGCACCTGGAGCAACCCCCGTAGAGGGGACGGGGTGGATGGTCGCGGAGCAGCTCATCGGAGCCCAGGGCCACGACATCGTGGGCTACACCCCCCGCCCTGGGCAAGCGGCGGCCTGGGCTGGGCAGGCTCAAGGGCAACGTCAGAGACAGATGTTTTCAGGGTCCAGCGGTGGCGAAGCGTCCTGGCGTGCTTGTAGGCCTACCAAACAATGTTCTAAGAACTGTTTCTGGTTCCCACGAACTGTTCTTAGAACCGTGTTTTCGTTATCGGAACATGTCTGGGTTCTGAGAACATGTCGTGGTAGGACTATAGAAGTGCCAGGACGGTCGGTCCCTGCTCAACAGGGGGGACGCGTTGACCCCCCATTTCGCACGGTCGAAGTGGGTGGGCGAAGCCTGGGTACGACTACCGGCAGCAGCTCCGGTTCGTTTTGGACAGCTCGCTGGCCTCGCAGCCGGGAGCGTGGTCCACGCGAGAGAAGGCCGCCTGCCCAGCAGCGGCTTTCCCGTAGCCGTTTTGGCTCAAGACGGAGTTGACCTCCCGTCCCGACTCCAGAGGCCCGAGGCTGAGGTGGAAGGGCAGCCCCTTCCTCAGGCCTTGCTGCCTCAGCTAGCTTTCAGTGAACACCTGGCTGGAACATTCCTTTCACCCCTCGGCGCTCCGAGGGCATATGTCGTGCGGCACCCTTGTGCGGCAGCGGCCTCAATGAATGATGGAGACGTGGCCCGCGGACCGACGACCCTTATTCTGGGGCTGTCAGGGTTGCGGGCGCACGAGCAACTGGGCATGCAGGCTGCGGTGCCGATGCGGGCTCAATGCGCCTGCCCTCGTGCTGCAGAGGGCCAAGGCGTTTGGCGGCAATGGTGGCGGGAGTCCTGATCGCGGTGCTGGCTATAGGCGAGGGCGTCCTCCCGCTGCGGGTTCGCGCCACGAGGCAAAGCTGGACCAGCCAGCCTCCAAGCTTGCCCGCGGAATCACATGCGGGGAAGGCGCAGGAGGGCAGCAGGGCGGGGCCCAGGCCCCTGGAAGAGCCGGCGGGGAGCCCGACCCACTGCAATTGCGAGCGCAAGAGCTGGAGGCGGCGATCAAGGCCTGTGGCAAGGCCGGGGACGCGGGTGAGGCGCGTGCACTACCTGAGGGCAAGCTCAAGCAGGTGCGCGTGGAGATTGAGAACAAGAAGCCGAGCATTACCCAGCGAACCAACGTCGGGCACAGGCTCGCGCGGGCGACTACCAAGCTGGAGAAGGTCACGGCGGAACAGCTGGAAGAATACCACAAGAAACTCGAGGAGCTCAACGCCAAGACGACCGAGATCCAGGCGCGCAAGGTTGCGGCGGCGGCGGAGGTGTCAGAGTTGCAGCGGCAACGTATCCTGTCCCTCCTTCGCGCTGCTGACTGCAATGATGATGACAGCAAACCGCCTTTGGATTCCAACCTGCCCCCCGACCTGCTGAAGGGCGAGGACGCCACAAAGAACACGCTCGCCACTCCCGAGTTTCAGGAGTTCGCGAGGATGTTTGCCGAGCATCGGGCTGCTGCTGGTGGCGATCGTGTGGGGCCAGGTGGAACTCGCGAAGAGGGGGCCGCCGATGGCGTGGGCGTGCCAAACCCGCGCGGCACCGAGATGGACGATGCCTTCGAAGACGAAGCAGTTGCTGAGGCCTTTTTGGGGAAGCATAGTGGCGAGAAGCGTGATTTCACCCAAGCCCTTCTCAGAGCCAAGCTCAAGAAGCCAAGAGGCGCGAGTCTTTAGCAACGGGCCGACATGGGCGAGCAGGAGAGCGACCGCCGAGCGGGCAACCGGCATGGCGGATGTTTTGCCTGACGACGCGGGTTGGTTCTACTCGCATGTGTGAGAGCGGGCGTGGCTGCACCAGCAGACATTCGATGCTTTGAAGGCGGCGTGGTATCTCTTTGACGTGCTGTAGCACGGGCAGGGCGCCAACTTCATGAGAAGTGACCGCCAGATGCACGATGGCGCGGCGGCGCCGCCTGTGCACTGTGCACTGTGCACTGTGAGCAGCCAAGACACGAGTCAGGCCACGCTTGGGGCCCGAGTGCATTGGTTTTCGCGTGTCTGCCCACGGCGCAGGCTTTCCCCCGCAGCCCGCCTCGCCCGTCGAGCTGGATAGCCAAGCTCATGTCATTGAATCGTATGATGGCAACGGCTGGTGCACTCTCAAGAAAAGATTTGGGGGCACGCAGGCGCTGGTGGCGTTTGCACAGGAAGTGGGCATGACTGAGGATGGCCTGGCAGGGGTGGGATATGTTGTGTGCCCCGTCGATACAGTGCGATGGAGGGCAGGCATCCGCTGGTGTGGCCATGTCTGTGAGGACCTCGGTGGGCCTCAAGTAGCCGTCGAGGTTGCCGCGTGGGATATTAGTTCATCACAGGTTATTGTTCGCCGGCATAGACATGCCCGGATGGCCCGAGCTGCTCGCGTGCCGCGCGCGCATGCGCGCCAGCGAGTGCCTGGGTAAGCGGCGCCTCAATCACTTAAAGCATGCTGGATCGACCCTGGATGGGGACCCGCCTATCGGCGTTCACAGCTGATGGGAGTTTCTTGGTTTTTGTTTCGGAGGCGGCGGGCATGCCCCAGAAGGCGTCCGATGGTGATTTTGCAACCCAGTATCGAAACCTGTACTACCGCAAGGGTGAACGCCAATATTTATTTATTTTACGGCATCGGCTGCCTACTGCAAGCATGTCGAGGCCGCAGGGGCGGGCGGCGCGCGGCCGAAGATGCCCCGCGGACTTGTTCTACTCCGTTTAAGGCCCGGGGCGTCGACATTGCAGCAGCTCGTTTACCGAGCGCCCTTGAGGTTGCCAGTGGAGCTTCCCGCGGGCGCCCCTCCCCCGATCGGTTGGTCCGTGGCCCGAGCGGTGGCTGAGGGGGCGAACCGCGGAGCCGACCGCGAGGTCGTTTCCCTTGCCCGGGGAGTTTTGGATCGAGCGTTGAATGTTCTCTTTGTTTTGGCAATGTGGATTTAGAACTTGAAAGTAGGACTGGCGCGCCCATTGAGCGTGACGGGCTCAAAGATGGGCAGTTACAGGTTAAGTGGGCCCCCGTCCTGAACCCCCATCGGCGCAAGGTCGAAGACGGCATTCGCGCTGGGGGGGGATGGCGGACCTCCGAAACACCAGTCAACGGTTGTTTGTGCAGTCGGGTAAGTTTGTCGGCCACGCTGAAATTCAGGCTGCGGTCGACCGCGACCAGATTATCAGCCAGCCTTCTGAAGCCGAAACGCGTCTCCGAGACTGGATGCACCGTGCGCAAGGCGCGGGGGATCGCGGCGGCATAGCCGCGGGATTTTGTTGCCTTCGCTGGGTGGATTGACCGTTGCTCGCAGACCCTGGAAGAGCGGGCCGAAGATTCTCAGCGGGCCCAAGACGAGCTGGACCTGAAAGCTAAAACGAGTTGGGATCATTGGCGCACGGAGGCGCTGGCGGCCCCGGCTCGGGCAGCGCGTCGTTTTTCGAGGTTGAAGGCCAAGTGGCAGCCTACGGCGATGGAAATCAGCCCTGGAATTTCCTCGTCGGACTCCGTGAGCCGCTGGCCCAAGCTGACGTTCTAGGGGGGGGGGGGGGGGGGATGCCACCACCTCTAGGGGGGGGGAATGCCACCACCATGCCCCCACCTGTCGAAGTGCCTGACTGACAGTGTTTCGAGAGAGCCACTGCGGCTGAGCTGCGCGCTGCTTCCAACGTGTTCTCGACGCGCGCGGCTCAGTCCCTGGGCAGGGCGCGCGCGCGCCAGTTCGCTTGCGTGTTTGATGTGGGCTTGGATACGCTTGCGCGCCTTCTCAATGCGTCGTGAAGTTGGGTCTCTTCGCCAAAGCCTCATACTGGATGTTGTTCCCCCTCCTCGAGAAACCCAAAGCGGATTTGCGCCTGATCTTATTGTGTTCCTCACCCGTGATGTTCTGGGTATAATTAAGAAGACCCCGTTTGACAACGCTGAATAGGTAGCATGTGGAACCAGGCGGTTAACGCTGCGGCCATAGTGGCCGAGGGAGGGGTTGCTGCGGGTTTTTTGGGATGGGTCCAAGCACGATGAGAGCTTTGGCCTTGGGACTCTTCGGGGTTGGGGCCGCCGAGCTGGACTTGGCCTTGTCATATTGGAAGTCACCTTCGACTTCTGGAGGGGCCTTCGGATCTCGCGTCCGTGTGCGAACCATGCGCTGGCGGCGTTGTGCGCTGAGAACGGGCTGCCAGCAGGGTCCATTTTCAACGACGTGTTTGTGCGGTTTTGGTCGCGCTCGAGCTTTTCGACGACTTCGCGCAGCGGAACCCTGGCAACGACCTCGCGTCGCACGTGGACGACGGCACTGTCTCTGCGCACGGCCCGCAGACCGAGGCCATCCAGACGCTCGAGAGAGCGGCGCAGGACTTGCGCATAGTTTTTTACCCAGGAGGTCGGGGCGAACATGTCGCACGAATAGTTGATGAAGTTCGGATCCTCGCCCGCGGTTGCTCGTTGCCTGGGGGGGGTGCGCTTGGAAAACTGGCGGGGCAGCTCGGAACCCGCCAGGTACCCTCGGCTGCGACTTGGCCCTCGGGGATGAGCGCAGTAAGAAGGGCCACCTCAACCAGAGAAGGGGCCGTCTCAGGGATATGATCCGCCAGTTCCGCGTGCTTTGCAGGCATCGCAGCCCCCCCCCCCCCCCGAGGGAAAAAATGCGTTTGGAAAGATCTACGCCGCGGGGGCCAAGCCCGCTCTGAGCTTCGGAGACGCGGTTGTTGGCATGAGCGAGTCTGAACTGAAGCGAGCGCGACATGTGATGTTGCCCTGTCGAGCCCCCAGGCACGTTGGCGTGTCTTTGCGGACCGAGACGGCTCTCCTAGGAGATCCCATGTGGAGGAGCATGGTGGCCCCTGCGCTGGCTAGGTCGCATGCGGCGTGGGCCACCACGACGCGACCTGCGCGTGGTTTTTTTCTCGGTGCAGGAGCTGCGCAGCATGTGGGGGACCATCCGGCCCACAGGTTACAGCTGGGCTAAAAGGCAACGGCCCAATTAGCCGAGTGCCCCTCTCCCTGCAGCGCATTGGATGGGGGGCTTGCACCCCTCCCGATTGGCGCGATGGTGATGGCGTGGAGATCCCCCTGCTCTACACCACCCTTCCGCGTCTGCGCATTGGTTGAGCCTCGGAGTCCAACGGCGCCACGAGAGAGTTCGAGGACAACAGCGGTTGGGGCCCTGGCGCCCCCCACGCGCGCGCGGAACCCATCTGGAGGATCACGAAACCAGGGGTCAAAGCAATCGGTCTGAACGCCGAGGGTAAACACTTAGTGATGGCGCGCGCGCGCGTGTGTGTGTGTGTGTGTGTGAGTGAGTGTGTGTGTGTGTGTGTGTGTGTGTGTGTGTGTGTGCGCGTGTTTTTTCTTGTCCTCACAGGGCTCAAACGGCAGGGTATAGCACCTTTGGCCTATGCCCGCTCTGCCAGGCGCCCGACTCGGGAGGGCACAGGCCCTGCGGCTTCCAGCGCGTAGAGGTCGTTTCGGCACGGCAGGCTGCAGACGCGCCCGCGAGTTTCTTCGATAATGTCCACGGCGGGGGCGCGCAGTTTCTCGAGGCGCTCAAGTTCGCGCATCCTTCTGCAGATAGGCCGATGTTATCGGATGAGCATGAACCTGAGTTCGACGTTATGAGTGGCCAAAGATTCCCTGGGGGCACTTCGACGGGTCTACGTTTTTTTCCCAACCATCCTGTGGTGTTGGGTCCTCGTTTTGAAGAGACAGCGCCCCGCGTCTCACCTCCCGCTGCCCTCCTCTCTTCTCCCATCATCGTCATCATCATCATCATCATCATCATCATCATCATCATCATCATCATCGTCATCATCACCACTAGCATCATCATCGTCATCATCATCGCCATGGCCATTAGTTTCCAACCATCCTGTGGTGTTCGCATGGCGGCCCCGCCCCATTCTGGCGCACCCCTCACACGGTTCGTGGCCCCATAGGGAGCTCCACCGAAGGCCCCAGTGGCTGCGTTCGCATGGCGGCCCCGCCCCATTCTGGCGCACCCCTCACACGGTTCGTGGCCCCATAGGGAGCTCCACCGAAGGCCCCAGTGGCTGCGTTCGCATGGCGGCCCCCCCAATCTGGCGCACCCCTTCATTTTCGCAATAGGATCTCCACCGAAGGCCCCAGTGGCTGCGTTCGCATGGCGGCCCCGCCCCATTTCGGCGCACCCCTCACGAGGATCGTGGCCCCATAGGGAGCTCCACCGAAGGCCCCAGTGGCCGCGTTCGCATGGCGGCCCCGCCCCATTTCGGCACACCCCTCACGAGGATCGTGGCCCCATAGGGAGCTCCACCGAAGGCCCCAGTGGCAGCGTTCGCATGGCGGCCCCGGGCCATTTCGGCACACCCCTCACGAGGATCGTGGCCCCATAGGGAGCTCCACCGAAGGCCCCAGTGGCCGCGTTCGCATGGCGGCCCCGCCCCATTGGCGCACCCCTCACACGGCGTGGCCCCATAGGCTCCACCGAAGGCCCCAGTGGCGCGTTCGCATGGCGGCCCCGCCCCATTTCGGCTCACGAGGATCGTGGCCCCATAGGGAGCTCCACCGAAGGCCCCAGTGGCCGCGTTCGCATGGCGGCCCCGCCCCATTTCGGCATACCCCTCACGAGGATCGTGGCCCCATAGGGAGCTCCACCGAAGGCCCCAGTGGCAGCGTTCGCATGGCGGCCCCGCCCCATTTCGGCGCACCCCTCACGAGGATCGTGGCCCCATAGGGAGCTCCACCGAAGGCCCCAGTGGCTGCGTTCGCATGGCGGCCCCGCCCCATTTTGGCGCACCCCTCACGAGGATCGTGGCCCCATAGGGAGCTCCACCGAAGGCCCCAGTGGCTGCGTTCGCATGTGGGCCCCGCCCCATTTCGGCACACCCCTCACGAGGATCGTGGCCCCATAGGGAACTCCACCGAAGGCCCCAGTGGCCGCGTTCGCATGGCGGCCCTGGGCCATTTCGGCACACCCCTCACGAGGATCGTGGCCCCATAGGGAGGTCCACCGAAGGCCCCAGTGGCAGCGTTCGCATGGCGGCCCCGGGCCATTTCGGCGCACCCCTCACGAGGACCGTGGCCCCATAGGGAGCTCCACCGAAGGCTCCAGTGGCTGCGTTCGCATGGCGGCCCCGGGCCATTTCGGCACACCCCTCACGAGGATCGTGGCCCCATAGGGAGCTCCACCGAAGGCCCCAGTGGCTGCGTTCGCATGGCGGCCCCGCCCCATTCTGGCACACCCCTCACGAGGATCGTGGCCCCATAGGGAGCTCCACCGAAGGCCCCAGTGGCTGCGTTCGCATGGTGGCCCCGCCCCATTTCTAGGGAGCTCCATCGAAGGCCCCAGTGGCTGCGTTCGCATGGCGGCCTCGGACCATTTCGGCACACCTCTCCCGAGGATCGTGGCCCCATAGGGAGCTCCACCGACGGCCCCCAGTGGCAGGGTTCGCATGGCGGCCTCGGGCCATTTCGGCACACCCCTCATGAGGATCGTGGCCCCGTAGGAGCTCCACCGAAGGCGCCAATGGCAGTCTCCCTCATGGCTCTCAGAACCATTTCCTGCTTCTGCTCTTCGGTCAGGGGGACGTCGTCCTCGTGGTCGTCGGCGCCCTCGAAGACGGCCACAAACGTGTCCCTGAGCACGTCGGGCTCCGGCGGGAAGCCGTGGCCACATAGGGAGCGCGGGCGAAGATAGTATTCACAATTGCTGTATCCACAATTGCGTATGGTTGGGCCCCTCACCAGGCTAATTTCTTATATAGAAGGCTGGACACGGGTCGCGCATGAGGCATCGCATCCATGAGTTGTCGAGGGTACCGCATTCGTGTGTTTTCTTCGATGCGGATGGGGAACAGAGATATAACTCGAGGGGTAATACTGCCAAGTCCAAACTAGCCAACTTGCAGAGTAGTATCAAATGGCGTTACTCCCGATATAGGTTCCTAATCATGGACCCGCTCTGCGCAGCGATTGCATGCATGTGGCGAAGCTGCATGACATGGAACCGCCAAGCCGGATGTCGGCTAAAAAGCGGTATGGAGGTCTTAGAGGGGGTCCTCCACATGCGGAATCACGAGTATGCCCCAGCTGCGCACACCACCCCTGCCCATAGGAAGCTGGAAGATATCGAGCAGATGCCCCCCCCCCCTCCCAGAGAGGCGCATCGGCCAGGCAAGCTGGCGGGCGGATCGGGAGGCCAAGGGGGCTCTCGACCTGCGCCCTCAAGCTTCGGCCGCCGAGTGGCAGCAACTTCAGCGTTCGATCGAGTGCCTCGACAGGGCGGCGCACCTCGCGGCGACTGCTTTGCCGCGTTTCCCGAGGGCGCACCTCCAGCGCCCACCTAGGCGCGAGCGTCCGCGCAGGGTGACCGGGCAAGCCGCCCGCTGGCACAATTGGGAGAACTGGCCGTGGGGCCACTGGTGCGCCAAGCGTTTCAGCTTCCATGGGGGTGGCCCCCAGACCCAGCCAGAAGTAGGATGCCAGGGCCTCCCCCGAATTTTAACAGTGTTTCTAGCAGAAGCCCCCAACAATGGGCGCAAGGTCAGCGACGAAGCTTTGCCGTTAGTGCGTTGCATGACCCGCGGTAGCTACTCGCAAGAGAAGGCGCGCAACCTGGCGACCAAGTGCGAACCCGAAAAGCACGGCGCAGGGGCCAATGCTTTGGGTGGATTGAAGCGGGGTCTCCACCCCCAACGCAACGCTTCCGCGTCCTGTGCTGCGCGAGAGAAACCAGCTGCACGGGCGGCAGTCCGTTCCTTTGCCGCCCCGCCGAGTCGAGAGTGCGCCTTCTCCCATCGAGGGCAGCGCCCCTCGAATGTCTGGCGGCCATCCGCACCCGCATTGCCGAGCGTAAGTCAGGGGGGCGGATGGTGGCGGGAACGAGGGGCGGAGCGGATGTTGCCTCTCTGGAGTAAGTGGCAGTCGCGAGGCCCGCGGGCCTTCCGAGCGCCGCGGCCCCCCATCCGAGGCCTGCCGTCGGCGCTGCCGTCGGCAGCGCCGCGGGCCCCAGTTCGGGAGTCGCTGTCGGCGCGGGAATCACACCGCTGCCTCGCGCAGCACGGGCGGGATCCGCCGTCGCGGGGTGGTGGTGGGGGAAGGGCTCGGCGAGCGCCCTAAGGCCGCCCCACCAGGTCTTTTGCTCGCGTCCCTGGCGGGGGGAGGCGTTTCCTTGCCCCGCCCCTCGGTTGAAGCAGAGGAGACTGCCGTTGTGGGCTCTGGAGACTCATCCGCTGTTTTTGCCGCGCGCATCGTCGGCCCTCCGAGAGGGCGTGAACGATGCGGGTTTCATCCCGATACCTCGCCAAGGCGAGGGTTCGGGATCGGACTAATGGTGAGGGCTGACCTGTTTGGCCAGGGGGCGGCCTCCGCAATCTCGGGGAGGCGACCCTGCGGCCTCGCATCTCTCCTCCGATTCGGTTTTGTTTCGGGCCACTGGGTGGCCGAAGCCTGGCGCCTCTGAACTGGTTCGGCCGCGCACGACCAAAACAAAAATAGCAGCGGCCTTCTGTCGCTTTTTGAGAACATCCGTTGTTGGCCATCGCGCCTTTTTTTCTATGTGCATTTCGGACGGGCCAAAAGGAGGTTTCGACCCCCATTCGCTCGTTCATCGCCGATAGGGGCCGATAGCCCCTCCCGCCCAGGACCGCGCCGGATTTGCCGATCCTTCGGAGACGTATCGCCGATCCGTCGGAGACGTATCGCCGATTCAGGCTCGAGATGTTTCCCCCCCTGAGCCGGTCCCCTGGTGGCTTTGGGGCCATAGCTCGGGCCTCCGGCGGCCGTTTGGGACGATCCGGGCACTCTTTGAACGCTCTCGGCTTGGCGCTTCCGCTGGAAGGCATCCCGAGGCTACAAGCGCGCCGAGAACCAGCGGAATCGTTCGAAAACTGCAACCGTCGAGCTCCAGGCCTCGAACCTCCAACGTCCGCTGTGGATTCGATGCTCGTCCCCCCCCTCCTGAGCCCGCCCACCCCTTCCTGAAGTTTCGCCCTCACCAGGCGCTGCTCCACGGGGCCACAGCCATCAACTTCTTCCGGTACCAAGGGCCGCTACGAGGGCATGCAGTTATTCGCGGTTCGCGGTTCGCGGTTCTGTTCCGCTTCCCCCATCGATCTCCTCATCGCCCCCACGGCGCGGGAGTTCGAATGTATTGGCGCTTCGCGCAGCGCAGCTTTAGCTGCCCTTAGGTATCGGGCCGCCGTGTTCGGGCAAGAGGAGCTGTGCTACGGCATCCTGGACCACGCGACGCCCCGGGGCTCGGGGAGGAAGTTCCAGGAGGCCAAGGCGGCGTCCCTACCCCTGCCCCCCCTTGCACCTCCTCTTCCTCCTCCGTCTTGTCGCCTCGATGCCCTGCCTTTGGGCACGATCCTGGCTTGATCAGGCTCGCCGCTCCAGAGTCATTTGGCATTCAATTCACTGTTATTCCCAGTGATGATTTTGATGCAGCTGTATTGCACAGTGCATCCGGCTCTCATCAGAGACATCGGTTGGAGCTTATAATGGTTGTCTGTGTGCTTGTCAGTTTTCCACCTCGCCCTCCATCCTGCGTTCTGAGGGAAACTCGGTTCACTCGGTTCCCAACCAAGTTTCTCCCCCTCTTCGTCCTCCGTGTCCACCTCCTCCTCCTCCTCCTCCTCCTCCTCCTCCTCCTCCTCCTCCTCCTCCTAGTCTACCTCGTTACGCTGGGCTCCTCCTAGTCTACCTCTTTCCCCCTCCTTGCCTTCTGTTGTCGAGGCTCCTCCCCTCTTCGTCCTCCCTGTCCTTCTCCTCCTCCTCCTCCTCCTGCTAGTCTACCTCTTCCCCCTCGTTGCCTTCCGTCGTCCAGGTCGTCGTCGTCCTCATCCTCGTCGAGGCCGTCGCCGTCGCCGTCGTCGTCCTCGTCGAAGTCGTCGTCGTCGTTGTCGCCGTCGTCGGCGGCGCAGTTTTCGAAGGCGTTCTACGCCTCGGCGCGCGAGCACGCGAGCCTGTGGCTGGCGCCGCTGCAGGCGAGAGTCGCTCTGCTGTACCACACGGACAGCATCTTCTCCTGGCAGGCACAGCCGCAGTCCACGGCGTTCGACTTCACGACCGAGGCCCCCTCTTCTCCCCCTCCCCAGGCCCCCTCCCTTGGTGAACAAAACATGCTCCGAGTTTCTTGAGAAGCGTCTGGGGGGCGTCACCCCCGCCAACAGCCCCACATCGACCCCGTCGCGGGCAGCCACCGCGCGCCGAAGGCGCTCCGACCCTCGTCGCGGCGCGACGACGAGGCGAGGTTGACCCCCTTCGGGGGGGTACCCCCCCACGCTTATTAAGGAAGCTAGCGTATGTGGCTGTTACTATTTTCAGCCTCTGGGGGCCTGGGACCGTCAACAAAACAACACGGGATGAAACAAGCCAGGGAAGAAGGTTGGGACATCGGGGGACCGCGTCCAAGGCATCGGATGTCTTGGTCTCTCCCTCTTTCCTCCGCGTTCTTTTCCTCCTCCCTCCTCCGCCGCCTCTTCCTCCTCCTTCTCCTCCTCCTCGTCCTCCTCCTCCTCATCTTCCTCCACCTCCCTCATCCCCCCTTCCTTCCCATCCTTCCCCTTCTTTCTCCTCTCCCCCTCTCTTCATCCTCCCTCCTTCCTCATCCCCCTCCTTCTCTTCATCCTCCTCCTCCTCCCTCTCCTCCTCCTCCTTCTCCTCTTTCCTCCTCCTCCTCCTCCTCCTCCTCCTCCTCCTCCTCCTCTCCCTCCTCCCTCATCCATCCTCGTCCCCATCATTCCTCTCCCCCCTCGCCCTCCTACCTCTTCTTCCCTTCCTGCCTTCCTTCTTTTCTTACATCCTTTCTTCTCCTCCTTCTCCTCCTCCTCATCCTCCTCCTCCTCCTCCTCCTATATGTCCCTGTCCCTCATCGTCCCTCCCCCCTCCGCCTCCTCCGTCCTCCTCATGTTCTTCCTGTCCCTCCTATGAGAGGCGCACCGGATGTACTTCCCGTTCTGGAGGAACGGTGCCGCGGTGGACGTGGTGCAGATGACGCGTGCCCTCGCTGAGGCTCGAATCAACAACAATCACAGGCACATTGATTTCTGGAGGTCCGCTCGGGTTTCTTGGATTTGCGGTGGGCCGCCCCTGTCGGCACCTAGGCCGCCCACCCTGGCGGTCTCCCTCTGCCAGCAAGGTGGGTCCAGCGCATATCTTAGTTATCCGCGTGTACCTCTGAAGGTGTATGTTTTTTTCGGGGCATCCGGCCTGTGCCGCCGATCCAGGACGCTCCTCGACGCTCTGGGAACGCTCAGGGACGCTCTGGGACGCTCCGTGCAAACTCGTCTTTTTGAATGATTTGTGAGTTTCACTTCGAGCAGCAGGATGGAGGATGAGGAGGAAGTGTATGCGTTTTGCCTCGATGGAGCTCGTTGCGCCTCTGGAGGCGCCCTCGGGCGCGGAGATGCTGGCGAGATACCGGGTCTTGCTGCTCCCCGCCCCGATGCTGCTCCCGGACGCCGCCCTGCCTGTGCTGGAGGATTTCGTCCGCCTCGGCGGCAGCGTGTGGGTTGGCTTCCGCTCGGACCTGAAGGACTCCAGGGAGCGTTCCGACGTATTTGGCCGTCGCTCGTTTGTTTGTCATCCCCTTGCGATAGCGGGCGTGACCAGCAGGAGGAGGAGGAGGCGGAGGAGGAGGAGGAGGCGGAGGAGCGCAGGCGCCGTCTGGGAATGATCACGTGGCATCGCTCGGGCGTGTGTGTGCTGCTCTCGGCGAGGCCCGGAGGCACTCCTCCGAGCTCGGCCTCCCCAGCGCCGCCCCGGGCCGATCTCCTCCCCAGGGGCAAAAGCACGGAGGTGGATCGACCTCCTACCCTGACACGTCGATTGAGGAATTGGCCGCTTTCGGTACGCGAGAGGGAGTCGCGGCCGTCATTTTTGCGGTTCCAGGTCCGTCGGTTTCGGTCCCGGGCCGCTTGCACCAAGAGGGTGATTTTCTAAAGGGAGGTTTGTCCACCGCCGATTGTCATCCCCTCGCGGTAATCGGGGGTGGCAAAGAGGGGGCTGATGACTAGGGGGGGGATATCATAGCGGGGGTCATGATATTCCCCAGATTTCAGGGCGCCTCTTCTTATTTCATTATGTCCCTGGCCCCCCCGCTGGGCCGCGCACATGCCGCCGGCCATGATTTGCACCCCGCCCTCTTGGACACCCCCCTCTTGGCCGCTCCCCAGATAACGGGCGTGACCAGCAGCGTGGGTCTGCCGCCGTCTGGGAGTGCTCACGCTCGTTTGATTGTCATCCCCTTGCAATAGCGGGCGTGACCGGAGGAGGAGGAGGAGGAGAGGAGGAGGAGGAGGAGGAGTACAGGCGCCGTCTGGGAGTGCTCACGCGGCATCACTCGGGCGTGTGTGCGTGCTGCTCTTGGCGAGGCCCGCAGGCCGTCCTCCGAGCTCGGCCCCCCCCCCCCCAGCGCAGCCCCAGGCCGATCTCCTCCCCGGGGTTTCGGGAGCCTCGAGGCGGGGGTCAATGCAAACGGGGGTCGGCCAGAGCGCCAGATCTTGCAGGATCCTGCAGAGCCAGGCTCCCATCGACCCAGGTTTTTTGTGTGCAGGATCCTGCAGAATCCTGTGCGTTGACCCGGGTTTGGGTGCAGGGTCTTGCAGGATCTTGCAGGATTCTGCAAGGCCTGTCTGACCCGAGTCTGGATTGACCCGGGTCAGAAGATCCCCGAGGGTTAGGTCGGGAGTGTCCCTTTACAAGCGGATTTTGGACGAAAAAATATATTTAAAAAATGTTTCCAAATGGTCAAAATAGTTAAAACATAGTCCCCCGGCTATTTTTTGAGTCTTTTTGAATATCGGCCGGATGGCGATGGGGGGGTCAGGACATGGGGGGATGATTATCCGGTACCGTTCTGTTGGGGTACAATTTGTATTTTCTCTTCGGGTTGTAAGTACAAATTGTACCTCTCCCCCCCCGTTAACATCCTCGCACATGTCGCGGACGTTGCCAAAAGTACAATTTGTACCTTGTCCGCGTGGCGTCGGTACAACTTGTACCTTCTCCGTGGGGCGTAGGTACAATTTGTACCTCGGTTGCGCCTCTCTCCCCATCTGGACTTCTCCCCCCATTTGCATCCCGCCAAGAATATTCCCCCTGTAGAGGGACAGGCCCGATTTAACCCCAGGGGCAAACGCCCTTCCCCGAGTCCCACAGATCCGACGCTCCAACAACAACTTTTGGTTTGGGAATGTTTTCGGCCTCTGGGGGCCCTCGCCAGGCCCTGGGTCCGTCAAAAGCGACAGAGGGCGAAACAACCGGTCTCAGGGGAGTGGTCCAGACCTCCAGGGCCCACGCATTGAAACAATTGGAGCAGCCAGATGCTAGATGTCCGGGTTCGTCCCGCAGCGTTTTGGATCGCTCACAGAGCGTTCCGGCACGCTCGGAGCAGGCCGCGGCGCCCGAGACATTTTCCAGAGCCGCCATTTCTCAGAGATTATCGATTCATCCTCGTCCGATGTTATCATCGCCCTGGTGTCGTCTTAGTCCACCCAGAGGGGGTGGCGCGAGTGGGGCGGCCTTGCGAGAAGGCCAGGGGAGCTTCAAGAAGTCGGGTGTTTTTTTGGGGAGCCCTTCTGGCTTCTAGAGAAGCCGCCAGGCCCTTCTGAGATTCTCAAGAGCCCCTGCCTTCCAAGAAGCTCCCCCGCCTGCTCAGAAGCACGACCTCCTCGCGACACCCTCTTGCAGGCGATGCCCATGTAGACTCGGGTAGCCACCAACCCCAACCCCCCTCCCCCCCTCCCAACCCTCCCGCTCCGCCCTCCAGCCCCTTGCGAGGCACTTCCCCCTCCCCTCCCTCCTCCAACCCTCCCCCATCCCCCTTCCCCCTCCCCCTTCCCCCTTACGAGGCGTTCCCCCTCCCCCCCGACCCTCAGTCGCCTTTTCAAACAGGCCGAACAGGCGTGAGAGTTGGGTGAAGTCCTGATTTCCTTTCGGGCCTCGCCGCGCCTCTCCTTGCAAGCAAACTTGCCGGAGTCGGACAAAAACGGCCTCCATCTTCGGACCCCGAAGATTGCCTTTTCAAAGGCCCCTCTCTGGCATCGTCAGGCGGACCTAGGCTTAAGTCGTTCCAGAGCGTTCCAGAATACTCCCAGAGCATTCCAGAGCACTCTGGAACGACCGCGGCGCCCGATATATCCTTTAGAATCGATGGATCTCAGAGATCCCTGGTTTCATCCCTGTCCAATGTTGTCCCAGTCCTGGCTCGTCTCACGTTGCGGCATTGTTCGCATCGAGAAGGGTTGGGTTCGCCAGATCGCTGGTCGTAGTTCCTCTGGGTGGAGTCCCGCCTTGATCAGACGTCACGACAAGTGCAACATCGGAGAACGAACCTCGCTCAGAGCCCTGGACCCCATCTTGCTGCAGCACTCTTCGAGCCGGATCGATTCGTGAGGACCCCGGGCCCGAGACAAGGCAGACGCCCCTGTTGACGAACGGGCAACACGCACACACACCCACACCCACAGGGAGCTCGGAGAGGACTATGGGTTCGTGTTGTCGGCTGGGGGTCCTCGCTCGAGCGGGAGCGTCCCCCAGGGTCCGAGAACCCGCACCCATACCCAT